AGCCCACGCATCGCAATGAAGAGTAGCCCCCACTCACCACAAGTAAAGAAAGCCCTCACACAGCAACGAAGACCCAACGCAGCCAATAAATAAATAAATTGTAATGGTTCAATTATATTCCATATACAATAGTAAATAAATAAATATAACCAGTCAATCCACCATCACCTCTACCTTATAACATATACAAAAATCAATTCCAAGTTGATTGTAGAGAATTCCCTGGCGGACTGGCAGTTAGGAATCCACACTTTCACTGTCAAGGGCTCGGGTTCAATCCTTGGTCAAGGAACTAAGATCCCACAAACCAAAAGGCCAAACAAACAAGCAACAAAAAACCCAAGTAGGTTGTAGATCTAAATGTAAAAAAGAGACAAAAAAGTTTTTAGAAGAAAACACAGGAAATTATCTTCACAACCTTGTAATAGACAAAGATTTCTTAAATAGGATGCAAAAAGTGTCAGCCATAAAAGACAATACCAATAAAGAATATTTAACAGGACATTAAATTTGAGAATGTCTGCTTATCAAAAGGCATAATTAAGAGAGTGAAAAGGCAAGCCATAGCCTGAGAAAAATCATTTGCAACACAGATACAAAAGACCCATCCAGAATATAAACCTGATAAGTCTCTACAAAATGATAAGAAAAAGGCAGGCAGATAACCCAGGAGAAAAATGGATAAGACATGAACAAGCACTTAACATAAATGGATATCCAAACGGCTAATAAGCATAGGAAAAGGTGTTAAGCTTCATTTGTCATCAGAAAAATGTACATGAAAAGTCAATAGCTATCACTATATTCCTATAAGAATAACTAAAATGGCACTAAAGATAAGCAATATGAGGTACTGGTGAGGCTGTGGTACAAATGGAACTCTTATCCACTGTTGACACAAGTATAAATTGGTTAAATCACTTTGAAAAATGTTTGGCCAAGTTATGGGTTGAACTGTGTCCCCCAAAATTCATATGTTGAAGTCTTAGCTCCAGTCCCTCAGAAAGTGGGAAATAGGGTCATTACTGATGTAATCAGTAATTAAGTCATTAGGGTGGGCCCAAATCCAATATGACTGATGTCCTTATAAGAAGGGAAATTTCTGACACAAATAGAGGGAAGATGATGTGAAAAGACATTGGAAGAAGATACACATCTAAAAGCCAAGGAGAGAGACCTGGAACAGATCCTTCCCTCACAGTCCTGAGAAGGAATCAACTCTGCCAACACCTTGATTTTCGAATTCTAGCCTCAAGAACCGTGAAACAATAAATTTCAGTTGTTCAACACACCCAGTTATGGTACTTCGTTATGACATCCCTGACAAACTAACAGAGGCAGCATCTACTTAGTGGAATATATGCATATTTAAGACCAACAATTCCTCTTCTTGGTATATGCACAACAGAAATGTGTATATATGTTTACCAAAAGAATTGTCTAAGAATGTTCATAGCATTGTTATTTTTAAGAGCTCCAAACTAGAAACAACCCAAGTGCTCATCAACAGTACAATGAATAAATAAATTATGGTATATTTACACAATGGAATTTTATATAGCAATGAGAATGAACCAATTACAACTACATGCGACACTATGGAAGGATCTCACAATGATGTTGAATGAGAAAAGTCAGACATAAAAGAGTACATACGGGGCTTCCCTGGTGGCACAGTGGTTAAGGATCTGTCTGCCAATGCAGGGGACATGCGTTCAAGCCTGATCTGGGAAGGTCCCACATGCCACAGAGCAACTAAGCCCGTGCGCCACAACTACTGAGCCCACATGCCTAGAGCCCAAGCTCCACAACAAGAGAAGCCACTGCAATGAGAAGCCCCAAATACATAATACATACAACGCAGCCAAAAATAATACATAATACATACAACATAATACATACAACGCAGCCAAAAATACATAAATTAAATAAATAAATTTAAAAAAAGAGTACATATGGATGATTACAATTAACATAGTTGAACATGTAAAAGTAATCTGTGGTGTGAGAAATCAGGATAGTGGTTACCTTTGGAAAGGAGGGAGGCAGTAGTGATTGGGAGAAGGCAAAAGGAAGGTTTCTGGGATGCAGGTAACGTTCTATTTCTTGATTGTGGTGATGGCTATACGGTGAAAATTCTTCAAGTTATATGCTTATGATCTGCACACACTTCTCCATATGTTATTCATCATTAAAAAAAGTCCTTTAAAGCTGAATATGTGAGTTAACAGATTAAAAAGCTGAATCATAAACTATAAGAGAGATCTTAAGAACAGCCATAGGGACTTCCCTGGTGGTCCAATGGCTAAGACTCCAAGCTCCCAGTGCAGGGTACCCAGGTTCAATCCCTGGTCAGGGAACTAGATCCCACAGCCCTCAACTAAAGATCCCACATGCCACAACTAAAAAAAAAAAAGATGCCACATGCCACAACTAAAAGATGCCACACATGGCAACAAAGGTCCCGTGTGCCGCAACTAAGACCCAGCACAGCCAAATAAATAAATAAAATAAATAAATATTTATTGGGTTAGCCAAAAAGTTCGTGTGGGTTTTTCTGTAACATCTTGCAGAAAAACCCGAATGAACTTTTTGGTCAACCCCATTTAAAACAACAACAACAAAACAGCCATAATGTAGCCCAGATAGACATAGAAAATATGAGACATTAATGGAAGCATAGGATAAAGTGAAATGGACAAGTATAAGTCTAATTGGAGTAGCAGAAGAAGAAAATAAAGAGAATGGGTAAGAATCAATATTTGAAGAGTGAGAATTTCCCAGAATCAACATGGCACAAATCTCAGATTAAAAACATACAATAATCTCAAGGAGGATAAATAAAAAGAAAACCGGGCTTCCCTGGTGGCGCAGTGGTTGAGAGTCCGCCTGCCGATGCAGGGGACACGGGTTTGTGCCCCGGTCCAGGAAGATCCCACGTGTCACGGAGTGGCTGGGCCCGTGAGCCATGGCCGCTGAGCCTGCGCATCTGGAGCCTGTGCTCCGCAACGGAAGTGGCCACAACAGTGAGAGGCCAGCGTACCAAAAAAAAAAAAAAAAAAAAAAGAAAACCATATAGAATAAATTATAGCAAAATTGCAGAACTCTAAAGACAAAAAGAATATCTTAAAATCAGATACAGATAAAAGATAGTTTACAAAGAAATGAAAATTAGACTGATTCTTTTTTTTTTTGAAAATTTTCAAACTCACATAAAAGTCAAAAAGAACAATACAATGAACACATTTATACCACTCAAGTGTTCACACTGTTAATATTTTGGCTGACCTCCTCAAAGTTTCTCTAAACATATACATGCCTTTCCCTTTTAGGAAAATGTAGAAAATAGGCTATAGATAGCAGGATTCTTTTTTTTTTTTTTTTTTTTGCGGTACACGGGCCTCTCACTGTTGTGGCCTCTCCCATTGCGGGACACAGGCTCCAGACGCGCAGGCTCAGTGGCCATGGCTCACGGGCCCAGCCACTCCACGGCATGTGGGATCTTCCTGGACCGGGGCACGAACCTGTGTCCCCTGCATCGGCAGGCAGACTCTCAACCACTGCGCTACCAGGGAAGCCCGATAGCAGGATTCTTCATCCCCAAATTCTTTATCATGCATTTCCCAGGAACAAGAACATTCTTATACTCAACTATAACACCATTCCCACATCTAAGGTAATCAACACTAATTCAATAACAGCACTCTAATAGAGTCCAGATGAAGTTTTCCCAGTTAACCCAAAAGTGACCTTTAAAGCTTTTCTTTTTACTTATTCAGGATCTAATCAAGGTTTATGCATTACTTTCAGTTGTTCTAGCTCTTAGGTTGCTTCTCAATTTAGAACATTCCCACCACTTCCCTTGGTTCTCCATGACATTTAATCATTTGAAGAGATCAGGTCAGTTGTCCTGAAAAAATGTCCCACATGCTGAACTGGTTTGATTGTTTCCTCAGGATTATCAGGTCAAATATTTCTGGGAAGAACACCACGTAAGAATGTTATACACTGGGACTTGCCTGGTGGTGCAGTGGTTGAGAGTCCACCTGCCAATGCAGGGGACACGGGTTTGATCCCTGGTCCGGGAGGATCCCACTTGCCATGTAGCAGCTAGGCCCATGAGCCACAACTACTGAGCCTGTGCTTTACAGCCCTCGAACCACAACTACTGAGCCTGCATGCCATAAGTACTTAAGCCCACATGCCTAGAGCCCGTGCTCCGCAACAAGAAAAGCCACCGCAATGAGAGGCACGCGCACTGCTCACTGCAACTAGAGAAAGCCCGTGTGCAGCAACGAAGACCCAACACAGCCAAAAATAAATAAATTAAATAAATAACTTAAAAAAAAAGTTATAGACCTCCTGTGTACCACATTATGCCGGTATCTGTACCATTATCGGAGATACCAACCTTGACCATTTTAAGTGTAATTTTTCTCTTTGTAATCAATAAGTCACCTGTAGGATAATATTTTGATACTCGGGAGCATACTTTTTTTTTTTTTTTGCGGTACATGGTCCTCTCACTGTTGTGGCCTCTCCTGTTGTGGAGCACAGGCTCCGGACGCGCAGGCTCAGCGGCCATGGCTCAAAGGCCCAGCCGCTCCGCAGCATGTGGGATCTTCCCGGACCGGGGAACGAACCCGTGTCCCCTGCATTGGCAGGCGGACTCTCAACCACTGCGCCACCAGGGAAGCCCGAGAGCACACTTTTTAATGGCACCTATGGAAGCCAGAAGACAGCAGAATACAGTGTTCAGGGTGCTAAGAAAAAAAAGGCTATTAAAGTAGAGCTGTATTGCCAACTGCAGTATCATTCAAGAATGAAGGCAAAATAAAATATATCCTGAAATTATTATTTCATGATCCAGTAAAAAAAAAAAAAAAATTAACGGGGAAGACTACGTATACACAAAAAGATTTTTTTTTCACAAAGCTTTGTTTTTTTATTCACTTGCCAGGGATTTAGCATTTTAGCATGTCTTGAAAAAAGTACTTTACCTGCCGTCTCTTCTCAAGGCAAAAGTGATGCCATCTTTCTGGAAGGGAAGCAGCTTTGCTCTTAGTTTGTCAGGCAAAAAATCCAGCTGTTTATAAGATTCACTTGTCAAACAAGAAATCTGAGGTGTAAGAGACTTTTTTATGTCATGACCTCTGGGCATGATGATCCTAAAAACAAAAAAATCACAAGAGGGAGGGGTGGGGAAAAGAGATATTACTAAGTGTATTAGAGAATTAAACATAAATAATAATATGAAAGCACTTATCAATAGCCTTGACATACTAGATATAAATTGGTTAAATCATGTTCCCAGAAGAAGCTATTAAGAAAATTCAAAGCACTGAGTCCAAAAGCAATTACTTAATGCACTAAGAACCAGCATACGCTACTTCATTTGTATTTCTAATTGAGCCATGATGTAGCCATACCCATTTTAAGCAATAAATGTATTATAAAAAGTTATAAATCAACTAGATTTTTACAAACTAAATAATTTTTAAAATAGGGATGAATTTGTTACAGAAAGATGAATCCTTTTATAATTAATCCTTTAATAGGTGTTCATTTTCATATTATACTAGATTTTCTAAGAATGAGGTTAAATTGCATTAAAAAAATTTTTTTAAGCACAAAGGCATCAACTCCAAATTTATAATTAGATTAACTTAATATTATTGAATGAGATTGATTTTTAAATATTAAAATGAATTCTTTAATCACTTGAATCCACAGTATAAACTCTGCCTGATTGACATATATACATGTATAAATGTATATACATATACATTTATATATGTATATACATATATAAATGTATATACATTTATATATATGTATAAAATAGATAACTAATAGGAACCTGCTGTATTAAAAAAAAGAAAATAAAATTCAAAAAGAAAAATAAAATTCAAAAAGAAACAACTCTGCCTGATTAGCACTTTCCTCACCAGTGGCTTTCCACAGTTATAATTTTAATTTTCCACCACATAAAAAATTCATATATCAGTAAATTCTTAGAACGCTGTAAGAAGAAAAGTCCTATTAAATCACTGAACTATAAAGCTTCTCTAATAATAACACTTCGTATTTAGATTGAACCATTCGTCTGTTTATATATAATCTCATTTTTAAAACAAATTTGCTTTAATTCTCAATTATTTGCAGACTTATAAAACTTTAGCCTCCCTCTCCCCCCAAAAAAGTAATAAACCTCTGTGTACAATGTTTAAGAATCTCAAGAATTCAACAAGTATTTATTAATAACAAATAAGTACTACACGCCACGATCCAGAGAACCAAGGATCACACCCCCACAGAACTAACATTCTTGAGGGGGAGATGAAAATAAACAAATAAATAAACAAGATTAATTACAGTATAGTACAAGTATTATGAAGAAACTTAAGAGGGTAATGGCCACTTTAGGCAGGATGACAAGGTAAGGCCACTCTTAGGTGATACTTGGTCTTGGTCTACAGTCTAAAGGATATGAAAGAACCAGTCAGGTTCAAAGTTGATAGAAGAGCACTCCAGGCAAACAGCATAAGTAAAAAGAACCTGAGTTGAGAAAAGGCTTAGTGTTTTCTAGAAACAGAGAAGAGGCCAATGTGGTTAGACCAACGAAGAGAATGATATGAGATGAAGTTACTGAGATAACCAAGAGTCAGATCATAGAAGTTCTTGATAAGGACTTTGGATTCCACTTTAAGAATGAAGGGAAGCCAAAGGAGAGGTGCTGTCAAATACACTATTAGGCAGATGTAGCTATTTAAATTTAACTAAATTAAAAATTCAGTTCCTCAGTTCCTCCATCAACCATGTTTCAAGTGCTCAATAGGCACATATGGCTAGTGGCTCTCATACTGAACGATGCACACATAGAACATAGAACATTTCGTTCTTCACTGAAAGTCGTACTGGATAGCAGTTACTGGAAAGTTTTAAGAAGGGGAGTGACACAATCTGACTTACATTTCAAAAACTACAAGAGGAGGACAAAGCTATCAATAGAAAGGCATGGGAAAATGTTCCTATAGGACTTTGCCAGTCCACAAAGCCCCCACCGCCTCAATGGCAACTGGATTTAAGAGATGATTTATGACTCACACTTGTCTGATAAGGTCCTCATAAGCACCAATGAGTCAGCATCCCTAGCACCTTCTCAATAGCAATAATAAAACTCTGAGTAAAGAACAGAGAATGGGGGGAATTCCCTGGCAGTCCAGTGATTAGGACTCTGTGCTTCCAATGCAGGGGGCACAGGTTTGATCCTTGGTCGGGGAACTAAGATCCTGCAAGCTGTGCAGTGTGGCCAAAAAATTTTTTAAAAGACAGAGAGAATAGAGAATGGTTCAGAAAGGGGAAAGCATGAAAGCAAGAAACCTATTATCATGCTGCAAAAGACATGGCGAAAATCATCTTTAGCAGTGGAACTGGATTTGGGAAATGTCTCAGAGGTAAAGCAAACAGGACTTGCTGATGGAGTACATGTGGAGAATAAGGGAAATGTGAAATCAAGATGTATTGATATATTTAGCATGATGGAGTTGTGCAATTTACTGAGAGCTTAAAGGCTAACGAACAAATGGATGGGGAGAAAAAAAAATCAACAAATCCTTTAGCAATATATGTAGTTTGAGATGACTGTAAGATATGAAGTGGATATGCCAAATAGACTTGAAAAAACATGAGTCTGGAACTCTAGGTAGGGCACAAGAGTGAATACATATATTGGGAGACACCTTGAGATAGTAAACTTATATCATTTTTTGCAGCCACTCAACATCTGGGACCCCTGTTATGTTTAGAAATTTCCTTACATTACAAATATGAGTGGAAGTCAGATTATCACCTTCCGATAATAAAGCTGGAAATACCAGATTCTTGCTTTCCCAGCCTTCCTTATAGCTACTGATTTTGCTAATCAGATATACCCATTCCAGACTTCAATCTAGAAAGTCAAAATTCAGAGGAGTTGGGATTAAGTGAAATTTATCCTGTTAAGGGTAGTAGCATTAGAAAGAGCCATGTCAACTTTCCAGAAGCCCTTCAGAGTGAGTAGGATAAGGGATATCAAATTTTAGTGAGGAACACTGGCAAGAAGCTAAGAAAAATATACAAAAATGATTCTACTACCTATTATCTTTACTTTTTTTAAGTTGTAAAAAAATTTTAAAAATACTCCAAGAAAAAAAATATCTGCTATGTTGAGGTCACATTGCAACTTATATGATTTATTTTATGAGGACTGAATCAGATACTATATTAGTAAAAATAAACAATGAAACTAAAGCCATCTTAATAAAAAAATGTTTTAATAGCGTAACAAATAAGAGAAAAAATAATTATTTAAATATGAAGATGGAAGATGTCTAAAACAGAACAGAAATGTATAGAAAAAATTTCAATTAAACTAAAATTATGGTGTGACTGGCTAACTGATAATTCAAATAGGTACTTGAATACATAAAGGACTTAAAAATATGTACTGGTACAATCTAATTAATAGAAAAGGAATGTTTTAGTTAATACTCAAAATAAAGACATTTGTAAAAAGCGCTTTCCCATTTATACTATCTTTCTAAAGTACAAAACTTATAATGAAAAATACGTATGTAGATCAGTCATACACGTTCATGTGCTGCAAAAGGTCAGCTGTAACCAACATTACATTAATAGTAGAAGACTCAGGCTTAATCTTCTTTCTAAATTATCAAGAAACTAACAGTTATAATAAATATCTTTCTAATCATGAAAACTGTAGAGGATTTAGGTTAGAAATTCAGCAAAAAAGGTTTTATTCAATCTATACATACTAGTATACTTTTAGTAAGGTTGGGGGGGCATTAAGGCGGAACCAGCAATATATAACTTTTAATATCATGTTACTAAAATAATCAACACAATAACTATTGGCTAAGGAGATTTAGCGAAAGCAAATTTAGGAGAACTCATTTTCTAAGCAGTTATCCTGATAAGCAACACTTGACAAGAGAATAAAGAAAAGTTTTCTCAATCTTTTAAGATTTTAAGCTAAAGATGGCATTTGTGTAATCTACTGGGAACAAGGTAAATTCAATAGGAATTTACTGATGCATTCTTAAGTAAACAATGGAACTGTGTTGAGGAGAATCAAATATTGTTAAAATATACTACCAAGAAGTTTATTTTGGAAATAAGCAAATGGCTGGTGAGGGAAATTATGTACTTTGAGGAGATAATTCTGTTATTGTTTTTTTTTGTGTGGTACGCCAGCCTCTCACTGTTGTGGCCTCTCCCGCTGCGGAGCACAGGCTCTGGACGCGCAGGCTCAGCGGCCATGGCTCACGGGCCCAGCTGCTCCGCGGCATGTGGGATCTTCCCGGACCGGGGCACGAACCCGTGTCCCCTGCATTGGCAGGCGGACTCTCAACCACTGAGCCACTAGGGAAGCCCTATATAACATTCTTGAAATGACAAAATTGTAGAAAAGATTAGTAGTTGCCAGGGGTTAAGGTAGGGAAGGAGAGAAGAGGTTGTGACTCTAAAAAGGCAACATGAGGGATCCCTGTGGGATGGAAATTTTCTCTATCTTGATGGTGTCAATATTCTGGTGGTGATATTGTGTTATAGTTTTACAAGACATTACCATTGGGGGAAACTAGGTGAAGGGTACCCAGGATTGTACCTGCATTATTTCTTTGCATTATTTCTCACAACAGCATATGAATATACAATGATCTCAAAATTAAAACTTTAATTTTAAAAAATGGAAAAAGCAACACACTGGCTTAACCCATACCAATGAATCTAAAAGTTTTGGAAAATGAGGACCAAAGAGATAAAACTCCAAGAAGATCATGCAGCTAGTGGCAGAGGTAAGACATCTAACTGGGTCTTTGCTCCCTTTTTAACACAAGAATGCTCCATCTCTGCTTCAGGACTAAATCCCAGTGAAAATATCTATTTTAAATAGTCAGAGGACTTCCCTGGTGGTGCAGGGGTTGGAAATACGCCTGCCAATGCAGGGGACACAGGTTCAAGCCCTGATCCGGAAGATCCCACATGCCACAGAGCAACTAAGCCCGAGCACCACAACTACTGAGCCTGCGCTCTAGAAGTCTGCAAGCCACAACTACTGAAGCCTGGGTGCCACAATTATTGGAAGCCCACACACCTAGAGCCTGGG